AGCAACAGCCTCCAGCCTGACCTAAGATAAGTTTCCCTCTTATCACCTAGACCACTGGTTCTTAACCTTGGGTTACTCAGGTGTTTTGGACTGCAACTCCCAGAAGCCTTCACCACCAGCTGTCCTGACTGGGGTTTCTGGGAGTTGCAGTTCAAAAACACCTGAGTAACCCAAGGTTAAGAACCACTGACCTAGATCATCATGACGAGGATTCAAGTATCTGCTTATCGTAGGAAGCATTTCAAAGTCTTTTAGTAAAAAAAGGATAGAAGGAAGCTCAAATTGACAACTTCAGCAAGCTTGGGCACAAAATTTTGGGAGCGAAGCCCCACCATGGGCTGTACCAAACCCAGAAATTAACAACCACATCCTATCTGGTTTTTAAAAGCTATGTTGTGGCTTTGATATTTTGATTTTTTTTTTAAATAATGTTGGTGGTGGGGGTCTCTTTGGTTAAAAACTGAGATAACAGCTGTTTCTGGAAATCTCCGGGAATGGAAACAGGCCTTTGCCCCACAGAAAGCCTTCTTAAAAATGGAAATATCTCGGGTGCCTCCGAGGTGCTCAACACAGTCCATGGACAGCCCAGCGCCTGCCCTGTAACATCAAGTGGTGAACTGGATCGTTCCCAGTAGCGCTGTGTTCAGAAGTGTCGTGCAACGAGGAAGCACGACGCTCATCCTCTTCCTCTTAGCCTCAAACCTCTTCAGCAGCCCAGTGCCAAAACAGGCCAAAGCTGTTCATTGATTCATTCAAAATATTTTTTTTACCCCGCCTTTCTCCTTTAAAAAAAAAAAAGGATCCATGGCGATTTACAACATTAAAAGACGACATATAAAGCTAACAACCGTGAGAATACAATACTGAAAGCATCAAACCCATACCACATAAACACAGAGGACACGGGATCATACCTGCAAGAGTCCTGTGTTTCTACCATTGTGGAGATGTGTGGTTGGAACTAGGAAGAAAATCTAGAGGGGCAGGACTTGGGCAACCCAAGACCAGCCCGATTCAATGGGCTTCCGGCAAAAGTTAGGCATCCTTCAGTCTCAAGAGACGGTGGTCACGTGCTCTGTATGGAGGACTTGGAACAGCGTCTCATGGGGCTGAGGAGGACGATTCAAGAGTGACCATCCCTTCCACACTGGAGAGAAATACAATCTGTCCCCTGGTTTCAGGACTGCCTCTTGGCCTCGGCCTGCTGGACAAGGGTCTCTTTAAATTGGGAGAGGCCGTGATGCACCGCCTGCCTCCAGGCTGAATGCTCAGAGGTCAGTGTTTCCCATCTGTTGAGGTCAATTCCTAAGGCCTTCAGATCCCGCTTGCAGATCTCCTTGTATCGCAGCTGTGGTCTCCCTCTGGGGCGCTTTCCCTGCACTAATTCTCCATACAGGAGCTCTTTGGGAATCCGACCATCAGCCATTCTCACGACATGCCCAAGCCAACGTAGACGGCGCTGTTTCAGTAATGTATCCATGCTAAAAATTCCAGCTTGTTCTAGGACTACTCTGTTTGGAACTTTGTCCTGCCAGGTGATACCAAGAATCCGTCGGAGACAACGCATATGGAACGTGTTCAGCTTCCTCTCCTGCTGTGCATGAAGGGTCCAGGACTCACTGCAGTACAGGAGTGTGCTCAGGGCACAGGCCTCTCGGGCATCCTGGGCAGCGTTGGAAGCTTGGGAGGCCACTGTGCCACACAGCGGTTGGGCAACCACACAGGACCAATACCTGCTATGCAAAGCAGCTCTCTCTCTGAGAAGACCAATCTATTACATGGCAATCTTTCACTCAAAGACCCCATTTCCAGTGTTACAGGAAAATGTTTTATCTCCCCCACTGTAATCCTAGTTTTATAAACCAGTCAATTTTTTTTTCCACAAATTGATGTTTTCCCAATATCAACTAAACAGTCCCCAATGCTTTGGCATTTTCTTAAAAGGTTCTATCACTCCTACACTGATCGACAGAGTTACCTGAAAACATAATGCGAAGCTTATCCATCACGTCGGCTTGGTCCAGCCACACATCGGAAAGGAAGACAAACATGGCGTCTTCGTTTTCTTCCTCCATCTGCTTCAATTTTGCAGAAGCTTTTACAGAGGTGGAAGAAGGCCCTCCAAAGAAGTTTGGGTTCCCATAATATGCCCTGCAGCAGGAAAAGCTTATCATATCAGTCTGCATGTAACTGCATCCATGACCTTTGCTCTGCAATATGCAGGGGATGTGATTTAACATGTAATCTTTAATTTGGACACTATAATGGCCATCATTCCACAATTTTAAAATAACAAATTCCATCCATTATCATCAACACCATACTAAAGTTCACCGTGTCCTACACCAGCATGTTTCTGGAGGGTGGTTATTTCATTTTAATGACAAGCATTGTGAAGTTTATACCACAAAATGCTTTTTCAAGATTTTTTAAAAATAGTATATTCCTAACCAATGCTATAGTGATTGTTGTGGGTTTGGGGGGCTCTTTGGCCGTGTTCTGAAGGCTGTTCTTCCTAACGTTTCGCCAGTCTCTGTGGCCGGCCTCTTCAGAGGACAGAGGTCAGAACTCTGTCTGTGCTCTGTTGCAGTTTGTTGGACAGGTGAGTATTTATAGCTGTGGGATCACTTTTTGTCCTTTTTCAGGGGTTGGGCGATTATGGTGATCAGCGTGTTTTTTGTTGTGGGTGTATTGTTGTGATAAGAGGGAGAGACTAGCTATAGCGTTTGGGGCATATCGTGAGGAGAAAAGATTCACTAGCAAAGACAACTCTTGTGACAGCTGGCTAAGAGCTTTAGAGACACCACAGACTGACAGAAAGACAAACAAATGGGATGCGAAATCAAATCCTAACTCTCCACAGAAGAAAGCATGACCCAACTGAAGGGATAATTTTGGGGGGCACACCATGGAACTCTTGCGAAAAGCCAATAATGGGATAGGAGGTGGAGAAAGCATGACAGGCAGACTGAATATGAGGTGGGTTAACTCAACAAAGGAAGCCACAGCCTTGCGACTGCACGACTAAAGCAGCGCTCGTAATGGGAGGGGTTTTTAGAGGTCGCTAATTGATAAGACAACCCTAAGTCAGAAACACCTCGATGGCACCTAACAAGAAGAAATCTCTATATGAATATAGCAAATGTTACACTGAAGTCCTTAAGTTAATATTTGTCTGGGAGAAGGTCTGGGGGATAATTTTAGATGTGTTCTCTTGCATACATGAATGTTATGGAGGAATTTTGACCGGGTATTCAAGCCAGGTTCCACTCCCCTCCTCGCCTCCAGGAAATGACACTGCATAAGGGTCTAATGCTGTGGAACACCCCTGCAGTCTCACTGCAATCGACATTTATATATCTAGATCCCTCTTCCTCCCTCTATGCTTTTCCAGACACGCCAACCAGTGATTCAACAGGACATGCTACTGCGTACTTATCGGGGCTCTGTGGCAATCCTCTCCTTTAGGATTTTCTTTTCCTTCCCTAAAAATATTTCAAGCTCCCACTGAGTTTGGGATTCATCTAAGTCTGAACATGGACATGGGCATGGCAGCTTTAATGGCATAAACAAGGGGACGTTCCACGGACGTGCAGGGACAGAGGAGACCGTACCTAGTGGTAGCAGAAGGTTCCGTTGGGGGAAATCCAAAAGCATTGACGTGAAATATTTCATCTTCATACCACCCTAAAAAGTAACATTGGTTAATGACTAGGAGGTCAAAAATTGGTGTGTGTCTTTTTCCGAACATGTCCAATCCTAAGAATTATTTATTTAAAAATAAACCCTCTGTTGAGTTTAAGGATCAACTTACATTTCAGTTCTGGACCTATTTCTCATTGATTTTTCCACATTACAAGGACATATGCAACGTGATCAGAAAAGATTCTTTTTAGCCTAAATAAATAGATATTGTAATAAAACTACCCTGTTTCCCCAAAAATTAGAAAGACCTAACTTGAAAATAAGCCCTAGTATGATTTTTCAGGATGCTCATCATATAAGCCCTAGTCCAAAAATCCCCAGTAAAGTGAAACCCCGCCCTCCACCCTTGTGCAGCAACCAGAAGATGATGACAGGGCTGTCTTGAATAAATGTAAATGGCTGTACCTAAAAAAAAAAATAAAGCATCCCCTGAAAATCAGCCCTAATGCATTTTTGGAGCAAAAATTAATATAAGACCCTGTCTTATTTTCAGGGAAACAAATTGAGGGAAAAACGAATGTCATTAAAATACCTGTGTCTGTTAACAGGTGAAAACAGAGTTCAGCACAAATAGGCACATACCCCCCACACACAAAAGAAGCAGAAACGAGAGACAGCAGCACAGAGGCAACAGACAGAAATCATGGATTTCCATCCATAGATGCTTAAAGGCTAAGAACTGTATTTTACTTTCATATGTTTTTACTTCTAACACCTTTGATATTTTAAGAGATGTGCCCTTTAACCCTATAATAAACTGCTTTTAAAAAATATACATGCTCCTTCAATTTTGAAACTGGATTATAACATGATTTGAATCTACTCGCGGACGAAGGGTGTACACATGTTCCTACTTTGTTTTTGGTAAGCTGTTACTACAGGTACAGACTGTGTATGTAGCCAGTACGTAAACAGGCTATTCACAATTGTTGTTCGAAACAAAGGGAGGATAGAGAACAATCCTATCCTCCCTACATCACTACTGTTATTCTTTTTGGATAAAGCCTTGAATTCCCAAGACCTAAGCAAAGCTGCTAATGAAAGGACAATCAGGAAGTCTTAATAATTCCTATGGTTTCCATAAGCTGGAAACAACTCAACAGCACAAAACATAAGTTATTATATCAGTGTAACTAGCTGATGCATCAGCCTGCCAATGACTTGTAAGATTGTGAATATGGCCTTAAGGAGATGAGTCACAAGATTTTAAGAGGAAAAGTGCTTGTCTTACCTTCTGTTAAAACAAAACATGATTCTGTGTACAAGCCACTGTGGAACTGGTGCAAAATAGTTAAGGACAACGTTCTTGCTTACTAGGCAGCACTACGTGAATAATCATTAGATTTAAAAGAAAATTCAACGGCTATGGCAAAGCAATTTTTAACCAAAGGAGGAAGCTTCTATCTATCCCCATGCAGAGGGGTTTGTTGTTGTTTAGTCGTTAAGTCGTGTCCAGCTCTTCATCACCCCATGGACCAGAGCATGCCAGGGCCTCCTGTCTTCCACTGAAGGGGAATAAGCCCATATCATAAACCACAATTTGAAGCTATCTGTCTTTAAGTAGTTTCTTTAGGCAGGCAGACTAACAAAAGTGTAACTGATCTAAACACACAACGTTAAAATCTGATGAGTTTGAAATGGAAGCAAAAGCTTCAATGCCTTCTCGTGGAAGTATGTTAAGTCACATGGTTGTTCATACAACACCAAAACATTTTTCAATATCACCTTAGGACCAGACTAAGAGATCTTGGTTAAATTCGTGATCTGGCCAATAAGCCATGTTTCTCCTCCATAACAACCCACTCTGTTTCCACCTCTTCTCCAGTCTCCTGTTCTTCTCTCCACTCCATTCCAGTCAGTCTGCATCCCACGGCCACTAAGCAGGCTCAGCTCTCACTGGGTTGCTTTCATAATACTTTCCCCATAAAGATCTGTTGTACTTTTGCAAACCTTGGAATTCTTCCGTGGCTTCCGCAACCTCCTTTTGGGGGAGTGGGAGCTACTCGCACCGAATAATTGGTGAAAGTAGGAACCCTGAGTAGGAAATAATTATAGAAATAAAAGTGGTCCCAGTTCACAGCTTACTACCAAAAACCTTACATAACAAAGTAAGTTTATGTAAAGGAGAAAGAAAAAAATTGCACTAGTTAGCAGGTTAGCAGAATCTGACAGAGAATTAAAAAAAGAAAAGGCAAAAGTAAAACCTATATAAAAAGGAACCTACAAGCAAGAGAAAAATGGAAGAAGTCAAGTAAAAAAATCAAGAAGGAAATGCAAGAGGTGGGCTCCTCCCAATAATAAGAAGTCTCTGCTTTAATTGAACATGTGCAAAAAAGGATATTGCTTTACTGATGTCCAGCTGGACAACTCCTGTAGGGTCTTCCAAGAAAAATTTCCCCTTAAAAATACAAATAAAAGTCATTATGATCAGTTTATTCCATTTCAACCTTCCTCACAAGGTCACATCGCTGTATAAAAGCGGTGTATCCCAAAATCTAATTCGCGGAACATGGGGGTAGATGATCATTTCCTTCCCTCTGCCAACCATGTTAAAACCCATTACGTGCATGATCGTCAGAACACCCAACAGCGCAGTCATTCAACCATAATGGACATGAGCGAGCTTACCTCCTTCATCTGGGTGATCATCCCAAGAACAATCACTTCGCCAACTTTAGCTGAGTTGCCCAAGAGAGTTTCTATAGTTTTCAGCTAGAATCAGAGAGAATGAATTAAGGTTAAACACACAGCAGACTCAAAAACTGGTTGTAATACTGTATCTCCAATACGTACTCCGGGACCCAAAGTGACGAAGCTCATCCCCCCCCCCCCGAATTACAGATCTTTCGTAAACTGCTTGAAGACATTTAAGTCCCCTGAGTTTCAGAAGAGGTTTTCCATCCGGCTCTTTGAACAACACCGAGACCAACTCCCCCAAAAGGGCTCAGGAGGCACACTAGGGAATCCAATGGAACAACATGATAGCACCAGTATCCCACATACAAAAGCAAACGTGGGGGGGGGACCCCAAGCCATAGGAGGGCCCATCAGGCCAGCAAAATTCTCCACCTGACCCAGCCTAGTCCCCCAAAGGAGGGCCAACTTTGATCATCAGCAAAGAGACACCCTCTGATCTGTCCAAACTGCTCATCACTACCACCACCGCATTTAGGTTTTTGGCAAGGGGGGGGGCGGTGGGGGGCAATGAGATTTGTTACTGCTGAGGAAGGGAAGCCCAACCCAACAAATGCAATTCCTTGCATTGCAGTCAGTGGTTTAAAAAAAAGCAAGCAGTGAGTCGGTCGGAAGTATGCATTTTCATGAAGCAGAAGAGATTGTATGCATGAGTATGTATGAGCATGAAACTGGATCTAGGTAGGTTGCGTATGCGAGTATGGAGGGCTCGTACGCATGTGAGGGGTCGCCATGCCAACAGCGGCTTATACAGGCCCCATAAAGCCAATGTGGCCCTTGGCCAGAAGCGGATTCCACTTTCCTTCCCTATGCGAAGAGCCACCAAATTCCGCGTGACCTTAACACATTCGGTTTACCTGGAATTTATTCCTGCTTTCATCCGGCGCTGTACCAATTGCAGAAGGTGTGAACAATTCATGTCTATGGGTTCTCTGCACAGAGATAAAGGTGATCCCATTTTTTAAAAAAGGCACCACACATCAGTAAGATCTTTTCCCCCCCTGCCATGTCATTCTCAAATTCTTAATTCAGTAGTAACCACAGCTCTTACAATAGCACGTCCTCTAACTCAATGCACAGGAAAAACAATCTGATCATTAAAATAGCTCTGTCAAGTGTATCAGCAGTAATGAAATAAAACAGTCGCTCCACAACCCCGAACAACTGAACCTGTTTCTTTAACACATAATTAAGTTATCGAATTCCTGCCAAAGGAAGAAGTTTAAGAGGAACCTATTTTAAGATGGGTTTAGAAGGGAGTAACATTCGAGGACGAACTTTATCAACAACGACCAGGAACGGCAACCAGAATGTGAAATATTCATTTTTGGCCTGCAGCTCTTAGCCACCACGTGGAACATGGTGGCACTGCGGGTTAAACCGCAGAAGCCTCTGTGCTGCAGGGTCAGAAGACCAGCAGTCGTAAAATCGAATCGATGTGACAGAGTGAGCCCCCGTCGCTTGTCCCAGCTCCTGCCAACCTAGCAGTTGGAAAGCATGTAAATGCGAGTAGATAAATAGGGACCACCTTGGTGGGAAGATCACGGCATTCTGTGTCTAGTTGCGCTGGCCAAGTGACCACGGAAAATATCTTCGGACAAATGCTGGCTCTACGGCTTGGAGACGGGGATGAGCACCGCGCCCTAGAGTCAGACATGACTGGACTAAATGTCAAGGGGAACCTTTACCTTTACCTCTTAGCCACTAGGGTCACAGATTTTGCATGCTTTGGTCCAACCAA